GTTGTGATAGGTTGTCTATCCTACCCTGGGATACACTATGAGAAGTATGAGATTGATCTTTGCCCAACCTCTGCTGCTCTGCTGTATCTGCCTTCGTTGTTTCCTTTATTTTCGTCAGACTCACGCTGTTGTTTACTCATGCAATTCTCTGAACACTTCCTCCTTCCCCACGCTGTGAAACTGTCTGTCTCGAATCCCATCTACCCATTCCCCCTCCTTGTGCGATTTGCCCCAGAGCCGGTCGCGTGTATGGACCAGCACCAAGGTGTCGAATGAGGGAGTGCCTCATTGCACCTTGGTAAAACAAAAGAGACTCCGGGCCTTTCGCCCTTCTGACGCTTAGTTTCATTGTAAAAGTTTATTCACCACTACTGTAGTGGAATAAAAAGAAACTTTCCCCTCTGTTTTTTATTTATTATGTTTCTTTTTTTTTTTTAACTAGAGACTGAGGAATTGGGGAACACTCGGGGAAGGGAGCTGGTAACGAATACGTACCTCTGTGAAAAACAAACCAATGTAGACGTCTTCTCTCTTGCTGCTTCAGACCTCGGAGTCTGTGAAAAACAAACCAATGTAGACGTCTTCTCCCTTACTGCTTCAGAGATAGCAAACCACTTCTCCCCTTGCCATTTCCTTTGGTTAACTTTTTTCTTCCTTCTTTCTGCGCACTCCTTTTTTGAACGTTTCAACTCCTTACATCATCCTCCCTACCTTCCAGCCTAGTCAATGAGAGTGCACACTTACTCCTCCTTAATCCCCTCTTCCTTTCTTGCACGCCCGTCAGAAATCAAGGTTCCCAATTCATGATCATGAATATTCCTTCCCTCCTTAAATCAAAGTTCCCAAAAATGTTGCTGACTTAACAACTCCCCTCTCCTCACGCAGACTCCAGAAAATTGTCTCCCAAGAGCGCTCACTAACTCCTCCTTAATCTCTCTCCCAATCTGCTCATAATATATTACTTAGCTAATTCCTCACCTCGTCCCTCATCCCTCCTTGAATGACTGACTGAATTCAGAGATCCTTATTTGTGATCGTGAGTATTGCTGACTCAGCACCTCCTTTCAGCATCTCCCTTCTTTCACCCTAAAAAAATCCCAATAAATATAGTACTATTAAAAATAATACTTCTACAATCCAATTTTCCATACGCTTCCTACTCCCACACAATACGCTGGCTTAATTAAGCACTTTTCCGCTTTCTCGCAATAGCTTTTATCTATTTCTTCCCTATCACCCTATCCCCCACTTTTCACCCAATGATGACGCTTAATAAAGCCCTTACCATGCTAATTACGTTCCTTCTCCCTCCCTGCCTCTCACTTAATGAATTTATGCTCCCTATTGTAATTACGTAGCTGCTCCCTCCTTACCTCACACTTTGGTTTGAGATCTGCTTGAAACATTTTCCCATAAATATGAACCAAATTGACCGTATGATTACCACTATAGTGTCCACACACCTCCACCTCCCAACACCCTGGCAATATAAGAGTGGTCGACTTAGAATTCAAATCTCGTAGCGTCACACTTCATTTTTCATCATAGTAACCATTTCACTCTTGCCACAACCAATTAGTGTACTATTTAGGCTAAGATGACCATTGCGCGCTAGTGCTCATGAATATCTTGGCCAACACACCCACCTCCCATCGTCGTAGCGACTATGGAAAAGTTGCGCCTCAGTATTCACCCAAATGCGCACTAGTGCACATGAATAACTTGGCCAACACACCCACCTCCCGTACTTGTAGCGACTATGGAAAAGTTGCACCCCAGTGTTCACCGAAGTGTCTGGCCGATACGCACATTCGTAGCCTGAGTAATTCTCTGCTGCCTCCACTGACCTTTGTTTTGCTAGTAATGCTGATTCCGACACACTTCACCTTCATAGGGACAAAACTCCACTGACTCCATAGATGTCAGCCATAGCCAACACCCTAGGCCATTCGCCACGCTACTGTACGCGGCAGCTATGGAATCTTAGCGTGGAATCCAAGAATAATGAAATTGGAAGGGCACATACCTAACCAATTCGTATCTCCCCAGATCTAGCAGAAGGCCACGTCAACCCGTGACGTGGCGCTGCTAAGCGTCTCTATTTTTGGCACGCGTGCGCTAGGCGCGGCTTTCCGGGCCATCTGCATCTTTCTGCGGATCTCTCAAGGACACAAGATGAACTGTTGTCAAACCGGGTTATTGCAAGAATCAAAGGATGGCTCAGGAACTATAAACTTTCTTTATTTGGAAGAGCCCTGGTCATTTCGTCAGCGGCCTTCCCGGTACTTTGGTTCCCCTTATCGGTCTGCCTTTTGGGGGAGGAAGCATATATTGGAATCCGTAGAGTGGCTGCTAGGTACTTATGGAAGCCATCTGCAGAAGAAGACCAGGGGTACATCTCAAAGGTAGCCTGGGAAGCTGTTACCCTCCCTCGATCACAAGGGGGACTGGGAATACTGGATCCCCATGCACAGAATCTGGCCCTTTTGTCGAAGTGGGTAATCAAAGCCTTGTTTGAAGATCCCACTAAACTTTGGGTTAAATTTGCACAGTATATCTTGGGGCATGAATGGTCTCTGAAGGAGGAGGTAAGTGTCTGGCAGTGTTGTCTGATCCCCTCCTTTTTAAACCGGAGAGTAAAATCCAGAACATGGCGCAGCATTTTGGGAACATGGAAGAAGATCTACCCGTCAATCTGCCGTGAGCCCACTACTAGACAGGAAGTGGCCAATCAGGTATTGTTTGAAAATGCACAGCTGGTTTCAGAGGGGGGAGAGTTGTTTATGGCAAAAGATGGTGGGGGCCACTTTGGGCGCACTTGGATTGAAAAAGGGATATATCAGATCAAACATCTTTGGAATTTCAGCAAAGACGACTGGCTTACTGAAGATGAACTAAGGCAAAAGCTGCCAAGGGTGAGACATGTTGCTGCGAATTTAGAGAAAATCGCCCAGGCGATCCCCCGCCATTGGAGAATACTGCTGAGTTCGTCTACGGAAATGGGGGAAGGATCTTGGGTTCGCTCCAACGTGGACCACTCTAGATATTGGAAAGTTTTGAGGCGCGATCTGACGGGGGGAATCCAAGTGGAGGAATGGATTTTGGGCATTACGAAGACAGTTAAGCAGAGTTTAAGTAAAACACAGGAGTTGGTAGTCCAAACCACGATGGGTCTGAGTGAAGCTAGGGTTTTACAAGAGGATAAGTCCTGTCTGTTATTAGGCATGGTGGAAGACTTCAGAGTGGAACCAATGCTTTATAAGTGGGTATTTAACTCTGAGTACACAGAGAAGCAGGACACTTCATTCTTGTTTCAATACAATCCCAGAATTGGTGTGAAAACACTCCAACAAAAATCCTCTCAGACACCTTTGGCGCTAGCTACTAGACGTTTCAGGAAACTGAAAGGTCCGGATAGCCGTTTGCCTAATTGGTCGGCCATGTGGAGCGCCCTTAAAAGGATACCATCACAGAAAATGGCCAGTTTGCAGTGGATGCAATCATTAATGGTGGTCCCTACTGCTCACTGGTTAGCTCAGAAAGGTATAGACATACCTCAGATCTGTACTCTCTTCAATGGGGTTGGGAATCCAACGTACATCTGTGGACGTGTTGCCCTTTAGCGGATGAACTGTGGTTGTGGTGGTCCGAGCACTGGAGTCAGATAGCAGAGAGCACCTTTGAGTGGAACGATGATTGGATTCTATACGGCCTCCTCCCTGAGGGGGCTGTGAAATACTCAGAGGGAGTAGGCTATCAGGCCCTGGTCTGTAGGGGTATAATATGTTACGAAATCTGGAAAGCCAGGAATGCCAGCGTATTTAGGGGAGAGAAAGTATCTGTATTCCAACAGCAACATCAGGTTCGAGCTAACCTCAGATTGATGATTATCTCGGATTGGAGAAGCTGCAAGGGGCGAAAGGGTCGTTCCAGGCTATGGTTTATTAAGACATGGACACGAAACAACTATTTGGCGAAGATATCAATGGGGGGTGAACTGGTTCTATCCCCCTGGCTGAACCCGCCTTATATGAGGTTCAAACGGGTCGCTGTGTTAGACCCGGGTAACGTTCTGATAAATTACGAAGTCGTTCACTCCATTGGGCATTGTGCTAATAACGACAGCCTAGTGGAGCGGTTTTGGATTTCATTTTTCAGCTGGGTCTCCACAGGCTATTTGAAGATATTAGGAGCCAGGAATTCAGTTGGCTCACCTTTTGCTTTGTGCGTTAAAGCTTAATTTTTGGAAAGCTTCTTGGTTGGGACGCTGGACCCGGTTTCCAGCAGGTAGTAATTTGGTCTTTTTGAGCAAGTTAGTTTGGACTGTCGAGTTGGCTCGTAAGCTAAACTGGCTGAGGCTGCCAGGATAACTCGGGTAGAATTGTGAGGTACCCGGCCTCGTCCCATTGATATTTTGGCAATAAAAGTTCAAGCTTTCCAAAAAAAAAAAAAAAAAAGAAAAAAAAGAAAAGAAAAGGGCGTTTGTTTTGGATTTGGAATGGACGGAACCAATCAGAAACGGCTGGGGTTGTTGCTTACAATGCAAACAAAAACGGAAAAAAAAAAAAGACCTCGACACAGCGCTCAGGCTTTGCATCTGGCAGGCCCAACTCGCCTCGCCTGGCCTTGCCTTGCCTCGCCGCTCCCCAGTTTCACCTACCCCTCTCTAGGCCGATGGGCCAATACCAGGAATGAGAATCTGCGGTACTTCATCGCAGTGTGACTGCCCTCGGTTGACCCCGAGGTTGGCGGCAGCGACGGAGAAACCAATCGAACCGTATCGCGGACGGTACCGGACTGAACGTGCACGGCAAGCCAGCAGGCCAACGGTGCATACTGAAACCTCTGCTGCCCGCGGCCAACTGAAAGTTCCGCGCTCTCTGCCCTTTACCCGCGCTCGGCCTTGTTCATCTTTTGCCCGTGGGCCGGTAGGATCGCGAAGTTCGTAGCTGGATCAATGCGACGGGTGGTGTGGATACGATTCTATCAGCCGGCGGGAAGGCGGGCGCGGGCGGGGGCAGGAGCGGGGAGGAAAAGGTTGACGGCGGAAACGGTAGAGCTGCCGGAGGAAAGGTTGCGCGCGCTTGTGCCCCGGCGGGGCAACGTGCAGGGTCGTTCTTGGCCGGTCGAAACGCAAGACAGCAGGACCTGCGCGATGGGTCTAACCATGGCCGATTGATTAAGTCTGGACCTCTTTTCCTCTCTACCTTCTTTTCTTTCTCTCTCTCTCTCTCTCTCTCTCTCTCTCTCTCTTCTTCCCCTCTCTTGTCGTGAGAGGTCACGATCTAGTGCCTGCGCCGTCAATCGGACGCCATGGCGACCGTCGCTGCACGCTGCCCCGTCTGCCCTTCATCCATTTTTCGGTCCAATGACGTGGCAAGCTCATCTTCTCCCTCTTCGTCCTCTCTCGATCGAGATGCAGGTCTGAGACATCGCCAGACATTCCCTTCGTGCGCGGGAATTCCGCAGAGGAGGAGGAGAAGCTCCCACGTGGAGGTGAGTCACCGATGCCCAGCTGGCTGCTCGCAGCTGACTGCTCCCGGCGCGGGGCTGGGGTGTTTCCTGAAAGGGCTGCGGCGGCGCGGACATGCGCACGCGGCGACGCCATTCGTGTCTTTCTCCGGATTACGAGCGATCAATTCCCCAGCGAACCGAGCGGGAAGGGGGGGACGGAGGAGAGGAGGGCTGGCGGCGAGTGGCGGAGATCACGGCCGAGTGCCACGTGTGAGTTGCGCGGCTGATGCGCAGGTGGCAGACCGCCAATCGACCTCGTCTTCTTCTTTCTTTGGCCAGGAGCGAGAGCTCAGTGCGCCTCAAAGCGTAGTAAGGGATCTTCCTACTCCAGTGAGGTATCTAGTCTGCGCAGCGTTGATCGGGGGAGCCGCGGGGGCGGGGTACGCGCTGGGCAGACGAGTGGCACCGCCTGCAGGGCAAGTGGCGGGCGTGGTGGTGCTGGGAGCGGTGGGCGCAGTCGCCGCGCGAAGCGTGAACAACTCAGCCAAGGAAGTGGCTGCCGCAGAGCTGCACAATTCGCTGGTCCGTCATCCCGACATCACAGAATTGCGCCCGGAGGAAATCCACGCTGTTGCCGACAAGTACGTGAAATGAAACCCCTTCTTAACTGCCTGCAGGCAATCACCTTTCCACTTTGCCACAATGTCAATCCCCAAGCGTATGTACTACCGGTAGTAAATCTCTTTTTATTTTTAAGGCAATCAGCTGGCAAATTACCTACAGCTTAACCAGCTGCTTCGTATATCTTAATCATCCATCTCGGACCTGGTTCACCATCAAGTCGCTCTCCCTCCCTCCGCTCCTCCCCCCACCCCCTGTCTCTTATACACATCTAGATGTGTATAAGAGACAGGTACTGAAGCAGGGATTGGAAAGGCATGTAATGTTGTTAGTTTTTTTTTTTTTTTTTTTTTTTTTAAACCAACTTTGCTAGTGTTGTTAGTCCAACCAACAGGATTAGAAGGAAGAGAAAATAAAATATGAGATGGACTCAAATAATATTTATGTTTATTAATAAAAATAAATAAATAAATAAATAAATAAATTAGATTTAGTGAGAGTAAAATCTGCAGAAGTAAGTTGTTAGAACTTCCTTAGCTTCAGATTGTTCACGGTTTCCCGACCACCATGTTCGGGTCTGCTACATTCTGTCGTTTTTCTTCACCTCAGTGAAATGGACCATTTTATTCATCAACCTTGCGCATCGTGGGACCATTTTCTTCATCTCAGTGAAACAGACTATTCCCTCGAACCCAGCTCGTGGAAACAGACCATCTCAAAAAAAAAAAAAAAAGAAAAGAAAGAAAAAGACCGTCTCCTCTGGTCTTTTTTTTTTTCTTTTCCTTTTGTTAAATAAAAACCGGCGCCGGCCTCTAGATATTACAGTATCATCGAACTGGCCGGCCCAAGGTAGTTCAGATTTGTATTATTATATTCTACTCATCCTGGCCCTCGAGATATTACAGTATCATCGAACTGGCCGGCCCAATATCTTGATTTATGCGTGTCATCCTTGCGCAGGGGCCGTGATAATCTATCTTCTCTGTATCGTTCGAGATATCTTTTTTTTTGGGGACCATTTTTGTTTTTGATTATCCTCTCCTGAAAAAAGAGTTGATTACTATCCTACCAGAGAGTGTATCTTGCGATGTACACCTGGCAAGTCGTCTCCAGCCTCTCTCTGTCGCCAGCTTAATATGACATTCTACTCTTATCTCTTGTATTGCTGTGTCTACCGTAGCACTCGACCTGGTTGGGCCATAGAAAATAAACCTACATTCATTTAGAGTCCTGTCGGTAGCCACCCTGTATGTACTATTACCCCTTCGTTTTTTTTTTTTCCGGGGGGGGGGGGGGGGGGGGGGGGGGGTTATATTGTTGTTAACTTGTTATATTCCTTGACAGGGACAAGTCCTGATCACTGTTATTATATTTTTAGACTGTGACAAGCCGTGTTGTCATATTTTTAGACGGTGACAAGCCGTGCGTCTGTCTCGCTGAGCCAGGCACAGGGCTCGAGATTTTTAGGAAACCAGCAAAAATATCCTAATTAGGTTTATAGAGCCTAACAGCGAGATGTATTTGGATAGGTCAGGTCTTGGGAACTCGAAGGAATACAGCAGGAGTTAAAGAATATATGAGAATTTTTTTGTCAAAAGAAAATGACAGAAATAATACTGTATTATTTGAATTTATTTCGGAAATAATTGTAGAAATTGAATTGATGGAGCGAAGGTCCAGGCCTGCGCGAAGATGTATAAAAAACCCGTTTAGGTGCTTTCCCCTTACTGGAAAGTTTCTCCCTGATGACAAGGCAGTGTTCTATTTGATCGTTCTGTGTATTTAGTCATAACGAGCTGCATCCGACGGATTATTCACTCTATCTGAATTTTTTATTTATTTTTTTGTCTTTCGCGAAAATTGAAATCCATGTATTACTAATTGATAAGTTATAATAACACCGATTAACTAAAACCTACAATGAATTTTAAGTAACGTCATCGTAATAAAGGACACTACCAAAATCCCTTTCCTCTGTCCCTCGTCCCTATCTGGTAGATGAAGTGATTTGCCTTCTTTTCATTCTTTTTTTTTTTTTTTTTTTTTTTTTTTGAACTAATGGGTAGGTGATCAAATCCACCGCTCGTTCGTTTACCTTTCTCCTTCTCACGACTCTTCTCCTCTTTCCCGGTATGTGACGAGATCCATTGATTCCAGGGAATTGGGTGGAGGATTGGGACCTCCGTTCCCCCCCCGCCCCCTCCCTTTTCGGACACGGCATGACTGACGGGTGTGCGGCCTTTTAGACTCTATCAGTCTATGATATGAAAAGTGAGAAACCCCACTTCAGCCTCCCGTAGGAGTCTGGGCCGTGTCTCACTTAGTCCCAGTGTGGCTGATCATCCAAAAAAGCCAGCTAAGCATCATTGCCTTGGTCGGCAGTTTCTATGGCGTTCTCTCTCCTCCTCCCCTTGTCCCTTAAGTACGCTCGGACTAGAGCTAAACAAAGAAATTAAGATATCACATATTGATTCCGGATTCTTCTTCCTAGGTACCCAAATATCGCGTGGTGGAACAGGGAGTATCGACCTCCCCCTTTGGAAATGATGACTTGGTTCTCACCATCGACAGAGGAGGCTGATATACTAATGTAGTTCTGGTCCGTTCCCGCACTACGACTATATTTAGGAGTTAAGTAGGATTATGTGACGATTATAGTAGGATTATGTGACGATTATAGTAGGATTATGTGAGGACTGTAGTAGGATTATGTGAGGACTATAGTAGGACTATAGTAGGAGTACTATATTAGGATTATGTGAGGAATATAGGACTGTAGTAGAGGATCATATGAGGGCTATAGTAGGACTATAGTAGGATTATGTGAGGAATATATTAGGACCATACCAGATGTGCTATGTGAGGACTATAGTAGGACTATAGTAGGACTATACTAGGATTATATGAGGGCTTTAGTGGGACTATATTAGGAGTATGTGAGGAAAATAGTAGGACTGTAGTAGAGGATTATATGAGGGCTATAGTAGGACTATAGTAGGATTATGTGAGGAATATATTAGGACCATACCAGATGTGCCTCCAGTTCCAGTCTGTTTGTTTGCTTAAAAAAATATATATATTTGTTGCCTGTGTATTTCTCGATGTTTGACGAAGCTGCCAGTAAGACCTCGATGAAGTTCTTATACTCTTGTCAATTGCACCAGGTTTCGATGTGTCGTACAACGACTTGGGTTAATTTTCACTGAGATTTATATATGTATTGTTTATATTTACATAATCATCATCCACGTGGCCGGCACTTGGACGTAAGAGGTGATGAACAGGCGGAGCTTTCCAACCTTACTTCTTTCCTTTTTCTGTTTTGTTCTTTTTCGCCTTTGCGCTCCGATACACTGTGTGACGGCGATATATACTATTGTCAAAGAGAGCTGCCCGGTAAACCTTAGGCAGAGAGGGAGAAGAGGACAATAAGCAAGTTTTTCCCGGAAAGAGTACACGTGAGCAGGTGACGTGACTGGGCTGTAGTAACGCGAGTTGCCTGGGGAGATGGGAGATGGGGAGTCTTTCTACCAATTCTATCAATGAAGGGTGGAGTAGGCACAGCAATGATGTAAGTGGGTTCTGCGGATCCGAGTCGGATGGGCAAAGGGTTGTAGCATGGGCAGGGTTTTGCCTGTCGCGTGGGGTTTTGCATGTTGGGGCTTGGTACATGAGGGTTTCGCAGTCTAGGGCTTGGCACGTACTTGCCACGTGACGCCTCGGCAGTCTGTGGCTTGGCACGTGGGGGATTGTCGCGTGGGTGATAAACACGTAGGGCTTATTATGGAGGGCTTGTCACGTGGGGGTTGACATGTGGGGCTTGTCACGGGGGGGGCTTGTCACGTGGGGGATACACACGTAGGGCTTATTATGTGAGGGCTTGTCACGTGGAGGGGTTGACACGTGGGGCTTGTCACGTGGGGCTTGACATGGGGGGGCTTGTCACGTGATGGCTAGGCAGTGTGAGGATTGACACGTGGGGGACTATCACGTGAGGGCTTGGCGCGCGGGTTGTGGGTGGGTAATATGTGGTAGACGCTCTTACGGTGCGTCTGATGCAGCGCACTCTGACTAGGATTTTCCGGCTCGTATCTGACCGATTTCCTGGCCAAAATTCACTGAAAAACGCCCTTTGTCAGTATGTCCTGATTCTATAGTAGAGAAGGAGCGGGAGGAGGAGGGCGGCTCGAGCCTGTGCCTGCTTGTTGCGAGCGACCAACATGATATTGCCGCTATTTTTTGCCCCTCTCTGTCATACTCAGCGTTAATACTCGGAAAAACAACCATGCGCATGATGCTGTGGGGCAAGAGGGCAGTCCCCTGGCCCTAAGGCGCAGGAGGAGGTTCTCCTTAGTCTGAGCAGTAGGCTGCACCTGCCAGGCTACTGTTGTGGGCAAGAAAAGCACCAGTGATTTGAAAAAGGGAAAGAAACAGGCTGTAAGTGATATCAGGACGTGATTTTGTCGAAGAGCAAAAAGGGAGATGGAGAAAGAAATACAGTTAAGTAAACAGAACGTTTTTTTTTTCTTCTTATTCTCTACATCTCTTTCACGCATGCATCCCTTAGTTGTATAACGACGTGGAAAGACCTACGTACGAGCAACTGAGCGTTCAATCGGGAGACCGTGAGAACAAAGCCACACAAGGGCCGTCTACACTCTATAGACGGTGACGACAACAACAATGGTTGCTGTCAGATCGTCTGCTACGTGTGGTGGGGAGTGGGGACAGGTGCAGAGGGCAATGGAGACGGGAACGCAGGTGTGAATTAGGGATGGAGACAATAACGAAAAGAGGAGAACTGACATGATTAATAAACAAAAAGTGGATGACTGACAAGGTGACATGATGGTGAACAGGGGCAGGGGAAGAAAAGAACAAGGTAGGGGAGAAGGAGATGCACCGAGTAGGAATGGAGAATGGGAAAAGAGTAGGAGAAAGAATGAGAGGAGAAGGAGAGAAGGGGGAGGGGTAGAGAGTGCAAGATCAAGGGTGAAGAGGACCACGAAGTCGAAGCGAAAGTGGACTGTGGGTCGCTCTGACGATGACGAGGATAGGGAGCAGCAAATCGGAGGAGAAATAGGAGTTGTTATATGAGGACGATGAAGGTAAAGAGGAACAGGTCCGGGGAGTCGACCAGTTGAAGGAATCAGGAGGAAGGGTGGGAGACCCGCCGAGTAGACGAGTCTTCTAGCATTACGACCATACGGTCAATTCATTTGAGCGAGTATAACACACGGGATCTCTCTTTCTTTCTCTCTCTCACACACACACAGACGCACACACACACACACACACACACAGACACGCACGCACACACACACACAGACGCACACACACACACACACACACACACACAGACACGCACACAGACACGCACGCACACACACACACA